CCACTTATCACATATTATCACAATCGGCCCAACACCATTCAACCCATGATCAGTCCCAAATATCCAACCAAACCCGATTATAATCAATCCATTAACATCAAATACCTAACAGTTTCACCCGATTTCTCTCTCATAACCTCTCTCTTGCCGTTGCGGCCTCAAATCACCATCACGCCACCACTTCATTATCTATTGTACCCAGGCATCCAGAGCACTACCGCTTCATCGCCATAGACCACCACCACCAACCCAAGATCATACACTTCCACCACAATTACCACACTCATATATTTTCTCGTCCATCTCAACAATCTAAAAGCCACAGTCACTACACACAGTTTTACGTCCACACCAGAACCAGCACAAGTTACAGTCTACAGGGGCTAAAATCATTGGACACGAAGGGAAGAATAGAAGCATAGTTGGGGCTCATAAGAGGGCAATTCAGATCAAGCGGCATACAAATAATCAAAACTAAATAACAGGGAGTCCTTGATCTCTATTTAGTATTGGTTTATACTATTACTTCATTTTTAAAATTGCATCAATTAAAATCTTGTGCTGCTGTTATTGTGATAATTTTAGCCTTAAACCTCACTTGATCAAAACCATTAATTGAATTGACACCAGTGACCGAATTGACTTCCATTGTTCCCCACTTAAATTGATTGGAGAATTTGACTAGTGTTGACCCCTTGCTTTGCCACTTTACATGTACTAGCAGTATTAGCTTGTTTTGGATTTAATTAATCCCAATATTTAAAATTAAATTAAAAAAATGGTACAAGTTATTTTCCATTGCTTGCACGTATTGTTCACTGATCTCATCATAGCACGTCATTTAGCTGGTATTACATTGCATGTAGTTGCATAGTGGTCGTCTTGTCATCTCTATTTCCAATACATTGACCATGGATCCATTCCAATTTGATGCACTCACTAGACAATTAGCGCAACTTGCCACTAGCATATCGACTGTCCAATCAAATATAACTGCTACTCGTGAGGAGAGAAAGAACCTAACTGCTAAGTTGAGCAATTTTAAGCGAACCCCTCGTTTAACTAACACTAATTCTGAAGCGTCTCATAATAGACAATATCATCGTGGACAAAGTGATCAAAAATATTTTCGACGCGATTGTAGGAATAGGGATCAGATTAGTAAGCGAGAACGAGATAATTTTGAAATTCTTACTCAATGGAATGCCCTTAAACAAGGAAATCAATTAGTGACTAAATATATCGCGCAATTTGAGGAATTTCGAACCAAATGTCATTTAATTGAGGATGAAAGCATGACTTTGAGTAGGTTTAGCCAAGGTCTGAGAAATGATCTTAAGCGCGAGCTTTTCCTTCGAGGTGTCACTACTCTTGATCACGCTTACTCTTTAGCTCGAGATTATGAGTTGATTATTAGTACTCCATATGAAAAGCGTCGTCATCGTCGTTCACCCATCTCATTAGTGTCGCCTCATCATAAGTCTATCATAAAACCTTCTCCGTCTAATGTTCCTCCTATTTAGAAAAATAATTGTAAAGGTCGTGACAGTCCAAGATCTTCTTCTTCATGTAGAACGCGTAATGGCAATCATCTTTCGGTTTCATTGGCTCCACTTCCTCCTATTAAATCCCTTCTAGGACCTCCCCCGTCTAATGTTCCTCCAATTTTGGAAAATAAGGGTATAATTTGTGAAACTCCAAAGACTTCTCACTTGCTATACATCAGCTGTAAGGATTTTGGCCACATCTCTTCCAAATGTCCTAACCGAGCCTTAGTCGTAGAAGAACGAAAGAATGCAATAGAAGAATCGTTAGAACATCTAGCATATGACCCTAAACTTGAAGATTTTGATGATTATAGTGAGGACACTTCCTTAAGTGGAATCCCGACCCTTCTCGAGACTTTAGAAACTATACCCCTTGTTTCCGACAACTTTCGATCACATGTTATATATCATACCCTTACCCAACTCAAAGAGTTTGATGATTTCACTAGTCACCCTTGGAGAATCCAGTCGCTTGTTCTTAGTACTAAATCGAAATTCTCCACTACTGACCAACCTCAAACTGATGGTCAAAACGAAATTGCTAACCGAAGTCTTGGCAATTTATTACAGTCTCTAGTCCAGAAAAATCTTGAGAATTGGGACTAGATCCCCCCAACTGTTCACATCGCATATAACAATTCTATGAATCAGTCTCTAGGTCTAAATCCATTTGAAGTTGTTCATAGTTATAAGTCTAGGCGACCGTTAGATCTTATTCCCATGTCCCCGCATGCTAGTGTGTTGTTGTCAGCTGAAGCATTTGTATATCATCTTCATGACTTGCATATTGAGATCAATAAACAACATGACGCAAGTAATGCATTATATAAACTTCAAGCTGATTCGTATAAACGATATTTTGAATTTAATATTGGGGATTATGTCATATTGCAAGCTTGTAGTGTTGGTCCTTTAAAAATTTTAAAACATGTTGGTTCAAATGCACATGTCGGTTCAAATGCACATGTCATTGCCCTTTCATCACATTTTAGCCACCACTCTACTTTAAATATTGAGGACTTCATTACTTACAAATACCGTATTACTTCCTTTGATGATCCATTTCTACCTAACTTTACCCCCAATTTGACTATATTGATATTTCTACTTTAATACCATCTATCAAAACACACAAAGATAAAATTGATGTTATTTTAGATGAACGTATAGTATTGACCAATGATGACAAAATTCAGTACTTCCTTGTTTGTTGGGTAGATCGACGTACTTCTTATGCTCCTCATTATGTACAATCATGTGAAAATGTTGAAGATGAGGTGCATGAGTATTGGTTATTTGAAATCCAGTATCAGTACTTGGTTAAAATGAAAGATTGGCCCCCTTGGTTAGATCATATTCTTGAGAATAAGCTACAGTTTTCAGTACTATCAATAATGGAATTTCGTTACTTGGTTCGTCAGAAAGATCGTCCCCCGTGGTTTGACTTGAAGTATTTGGAATATCAGATTGACTGCAACTTGTACTATCTATCAACTCGACAGGGTCGAGTTTTTCTCCTACCCCAGGAGAGTTGATGAGGACATCAGACGACGTTTACTTATTTTATTTAAACTTTATTTATTTTCTTGGACTATTATTTAAATTTGGACTTGTATGGGCTCTGCCCCAAGCTCGTTAGGGTTGCTTTACTATTTAAACCTATTTTGCATTGTAATTTTCAGTTGATGATGAATGAATAATTATTTTGGTGGCTTATGGCGTATCTCTTCCCTTCTTCTATTGAATTCTTCTTCTTACCCCTCTCTTAATTCCCCATTCTCTCTGAATCTTTCTTCTGTTTCTATTAATCATCCTATCGGTGCTGCATCATAATCTCTCTGGATCTACCCTGTTAATATCCAAGGTCTTCATGACCTGAAATATGGCTGAAATTCTCAGTGTCATGACCAGTTCCGATTCATCCACAGATCGGTCCAATCTACCCACTTCTCTGTTAATGATTTTACACCGCAAGTTGTGCATCATACTACATTTTCCTTGGGTCTCTATCTTTCAATTTCCATGTGGCAATGTAAACACATACCCAGAGGAGGATGGATTCTTTATCTTATCTGTAAATCCAAAGTCTTTTGCGTCAAATTATTGGACTATTCGACATTCAAACACTATTTATTGATTCTCTCATGGCCATGGCATAATTTTGTCTTCATTATACTTTTGAAAGTTACTGTGAAGATTTTAGCAGTTCTCCCATTGCCTTTTGTCTTCAATTCCCTAGCCCATCCCAAACCTCAAAACAATTTTTTATTTTAGTTCGTTCCCAGCTTTTGACAAAGAATTTGTAAACTGATTGACCATTGTTTTAATACATAAGTAAGGCATGCTCAAATTACTCGCTTTGTTAAAGAAGGCCCCTTCCCTCATGACTTCTTCCCTTCCTTCCCTTACTTCAAATATTAGTATTACCATTCATTTAACAATAACAAACAGCAATGAAGATCAAACAAAAGGACAAACTTAGAAAAGAAAAAAGAACAGTGAAGGACATTAATCATGCCCGTAAAAGGTGGAGTAGAAAATAAGCTCTATGGTAGACTCCTATTACATAAAGTTCAATGAATATCAACCAATGAACTTTTCATCGAAGTTCACTGGATGTCCAAGATTTAGTGAAATAAAAAAAGAACAGTCTAGCCTACCAACCCCACATACTCAATTTTCTAAGAATCTAGACTGAACTGCATTCAATAAACAACAACTTTCAACTAGAACTGCCAAAATAGATTAGATAACAGAAAAGTAGGTCAGGAAAACTTCACGGAGATCGAGGTTGGGACACACACACAAACAGACTACCTATAGTGTTATCAAATTCCACAGCCAAATCAACAGATTGCTACGTTACTGAACATCATTTGGACATTAAGCATCTATTTTGATATTATAGCTCTCTAATTCTCAAAGTCTATAACCAAAAAGTTGAGAAAATTTAACCTTTTCCTATTTATTCGAACCGCAAGAATGGAAGTCAAAAAGTTGAGTTCTCGGAGAGCAGTTCCAGTCGTGGTATTAAACAAACATAACCTCCGTGGTGACAAAGATGGCTGATGAAAGCAGGTGGGTGAAATATAAGAACTAACAAATCATACTGTTTAAAAGTTAAGAAGAAGGGAAAAAAATACAAAACCTGTTCACCGGCCCCAACAATGGCAAGAAGATTTGAACTGTATAGCATTTCAGCAATCACAAAAGCCCCAATAACTGACAGAAAAAATCCAATTTTAACAGGTTATTATTAAAAAAAATGTAAGCCTTAACAAAACTGAATTTCAATTGACAATCAAATGCGTACACATATATATACCTCGTTCATAAAGGAGTCTTCCAGTATCACAATCGAAGATTTTGAACCCATCCCTCGTTCCAATTACAAAGCAGCTGACCCAAAATGAATTTATACATCCATTAATTCAGGGGAAAAAAACCGAAATCTGTTTCTTTTCGGTTAATAATTTGTGTTACCTGTTATCTTGATTAAAAGAAGCACAGAGAATCGGATGGGATTTGGATTGATTCGCCATACTTCGAATAAATATTCTAATATTCTCCGAACTATTATTGTGTAAATACTTACAGTATATTAATCGATTACAAGGAGGAGAATGAATGCTTGAAGCGAATTTATATAAAAAAAAAGAAAAAAAGAAAGAAAAAAAGAAAATCAATTTATATACATTCATGCTGTACACCAAGTTCTTTACTCTGTATGCCACGTGGTAGCACACAATTGGACAACTTTAAAAAATAATTTTTCACCAATCAAATAAGGTGGAATTATTTTGATTTCCATTTTTTCAAAATTCATTTTCAATCATACATTCTTCTATAAAATAATTGTACACGTATTTCAAAAAAAATTCTTTCTTTCTAACCATACATTCTTAAAAAAAATCAATATTTCATAATACATTTTATTCCAAAATGAGAATCAAACAGAGGTAGGCCTTATTTGATTTTCATTTTTTTCAAAATACATTTTTCTCTCTCTTCTCTTTAACCATACATTATTTATCAAAATAATATTATATGTAAATTAAAAAAATTCATTATTTTTTAATCACACATTTCTCATCAATATATTATTCTAAAATATATTTTTCATAAAAATAGGGCCCAAACGCCCTCTCATCTGCGTATAGGATTTTACTGATCGCCTTGACACCCCTAACACGAGTAGCCCATGATTTTTTAGAATACTGCTATTTACATCTACAAATTTTATATAAACATCCACTTTTAAAAATATAGTATAAATATAATTATATTATATATTTTTATCTTATGTAAATTTACCTAAATAGATATATATATAAAATTAAATAAAAATATATCGGCCTATCATCCATGGAAAATCAAACGAACTATAATATTTATTTTCATAAATTCTTTTAAACCTTTTTATCTTCTTTTAAAGTTTGTGTTTAACTAAAATTCTAATAATAATAAAATACTATCTTCATCTAAAATCATAAAATCCTCTTCAACGAAAACTTAGGCAAAAAAAAAAAAGCACACACACACACATACACATTATTAGAGTCATAATTCGTTTATGATATGAAAAATGGAATATTATTTTTTATGTTTTTTTTAGTATTTTGACAGATGAAAATATATGAGAAATTTCAAAATAAGCTTCAATAATGTCCAAATATTCTTACGTTACAAAAGGAAACAAACGTAAAATTACTAGCTGAAACACAAACAACCAAAATTATGAGCATATAAGCAAAAAAATTAAAAATAAAAGATATTACTACTCGTACATCAAGTGGTGTCTATCCTCCTCACACGGAGGGGGCCCACTTTGAATAAATCATATTTTATTTCAAGCGGACCCCTTTCATGTGACGGGGTGGACGCCCCGATGTACATGTAGCATGATAAAAAAATATAATAAAATAATAAAAAAATGATGTGATTTGATGAGAGATTTGTTTGGTTGTTTGAACAGTATACTCTTGATAGAATCCAATAAATTTAAGAAAAAATTTTGCTAACATTTATAACTAAAAATTAAAGCACTAACATGACAATATAGAAAATAAAAATAAGAACCAGATTAAATGTTGATGGTGATTGGATAAATGCAGTGATTTTTTAAATTTTTTTAAATTGTATTAGAAATGTATTTATAGTGGGATGAATATATAAGATTAGTATGGATTTACAATATTTAAATAAATGAATTTAATAAGGAAAATATTGAAATTTGAAGTGGATGCTAATAGTAAATTTTTTAAATTTTGATATTTTAATAGAGATGTATATAGAATGTGATTTATATATAAAAAATGTGGACATAAATAGCGTCACCATTTTTTTTAATTAGGCGTGTACTTCCCTCTTGTAAAAGATATATCAAGGGAAAATTTTACAAAACCTTTTTTTTTAAACTTTATATTTTATAAATCAAGTGTTAAGAATTTGTTTTCAAAAATCAAGTTTATTAGTACAATTAATCTACTTGTACAAAGTAGGTTAACAAAGTTTGTTGACAAAATCAATGTTGGCAAGATTTAGGCCGTTAATCTATTTTGAATTCAAAAACTGTTTTTGAAATAAGTGATAAAGATATTGTCAACTCATATTTTGTCAACCAACTTTGTCATTTTCCTTTATAGGTGTAACATTACTCTTATTAGTAACCTTATCCATCCATGCCACCATTCTCACCATCTACACCCAAAAAAGCATATTTCTATCAATCAATTTTCTACTCCATTCCACTTTCCTCTTTTCAAGGTTCTTTCCAAAAATCATCCTTCCCCAATCTCTTTCCACACATCCACCAACCCGCCCAAGAAGCCCAAATTTTTTTCCAATCAATTTTCCCCTCAATTCACTTTCTCTTTTCTGGTTTTCTCCAAAAATTACCCCATCCCATCACTAGTGGCGCAAATGGGTGATTGATGTTGGAGATGGAGGTTTTGGTGTGCGATGGTGCCAAGGATGGCACTTATGTTAAGGCTTTAAAGGGAATATACGTGGCAGCTTCAAAATGTGGGTATTTATGGGTCATGGATCTGGATCCTTATTCTAAATGGTGCTGAAAAGAGGATTACACAAGCTTTAATTGTTGCTGCTGCAATGTGTGTTTACAAGGAGCAAAACACGTGGCCCCTTATAGCAGACGTACGGTAGTCGATGTTGTTGGAGATTATTCCCCGATGAACGGAGTGAACGACCAATTTGCTGGTCATTTTATAAACAGTTTTGAAGACCAGAAATCGCATGAATGTTGGAACAAATCAGGGTATTGCACATGCCTTTAAGTTAGACACAATTCTCAAGCTGGTTGATGTCAAAGGGGTGGATGAGAAAACCAAACTTTTGCGTTTTGTTGTTCATGAAATAATAAGAAGTGAAGGTGCTTGTTTTTCTATTGCGACAAAAATGACAAGTCATCGATAAATGATGATGCCTAGTGTAGGAAGCTCAGCCTTCAAGTTGTGTCAGGTCTCAACTCAAAGTTCTCGAATGTGAAGAAAGTTGCTGCAATGGATGTTGAAGTGCTTGGTAGTAATGTGTCTAACCTTTCAAAAAGAACTGGTGGTGGATTGTGGTATTGGTCTTTGGCGTGTGCAGATTTATTTGTGGTAGCATCCGGAACCAAGTACATGTTTATTGTAATTGGTTGTGACAAATTTGATGTTAATTATAACTGATTGTGACTTGATCACATATCGTCATAGTTAAGATTAATATGGTCACATATAATTATACTGGAGACAAATTTGATCACAGTTTGTCACGGATAACATATATCGGTGACTTTGTTACATACAGTCACAAATTAGACGACTTGGTCACAAATGGTCACACTGAAAATAAATTTGATCACGGTTAGTTACAAATAACAAAAATGCACTCAATACTCAATGTTTCCTTTACATATTTTAATTCCAAAGTCAATGCCAGTTATAATTTTCTTCTTACTTTCTCTTATTGCCAAGGTTGAAACTTCCCACTGTAATATCTTTCAAGTAGGATGTCAATAACACCACTGCCATTCTAGTATCAGTTGTACTCTGCTTTCTCTTATAGTTGCCTGGAGCTTTGGCACAAGGGTAAGATATTCTACTCTCGAGTCCATCACTCACATCCTAACATTTCATATATAATTGCAACCATATTTTGAACATGAACATTCTAAATTTATATGTGCCGCACTACTTCTGCAACGTTGCATTTCATTTAAGGACAATTCAAAACTTTTTTGATTCTACTAGGAGGCTACCTGCTTCTGATCCAGGTCTTCGTAAGCATTTGTGATGTCATAGCTATTGGTGGAATGACAATTTACAGCTCACTTTATTTGAAGAAATCAAGTGATAAAGCCACCAATTTACTTACAAAGCAAAATTTAGTTTCTTCAAAACTCAAGAATGATGAAGGTGAGAAGAGCCCATTGCAGAAGATAATTCAAGTGTGGTTTGAGCTTTCTGAGTGTGAAATTTTTGCATCTGTTTATTCTTGGGCCATGGAGTATATGTACAAAAAATAATGACAATTTGATGAAATTGATGATTCAAAATTAGAAGAGTTTCCTTCACATATTGTACAATGTTTAACATCTTGATAATAATGCAAGTGAGACATTGTTATACTATACAATTCTTTTTGCATATATGTGTTAATATGTTATTCAGCAATGCATATCAAATATGTCTAAAAATCTTAACGTAAATATCTAATCATTTTTAGTCGAGATTTAATTACAATGCCATTAAATTGTTTTGACATAATAACTCTAAAATCTCCTTTGAGCTTAGGACAACAAGAGATTGAAGTATTAGTGACATCCGAAATTCCTCAAAATGCAACGTGCCTCAGAGAGAGCCCTTGTCTATCCCAAGATGGGTTGTGCTGTGTGTACACAATGGTGTACACACAACCTTACACCCCCTTTACATGGAGGGGGGCCCATATGTAATATAATATTCGTAGGCCCCCCTCCATGTGAGGGGGGTGTAAGGCTGTGTGTACACCATCAGGTGTACACACGGCATTATCTATCCCAAGATAGACTTATCTGGTGAATGGTGTTAATAATAATAGGGAAAAATAGAATACATAATTAAATGGGAATAGAAATTCCAAATATCTCGTGTTGATTATAACTTATCATTTGCCATCAAAACTCACTAACATTTTGGTGGATGTAGCCAAAAAAATATTGAAATACCCTAAGATCCTAATCCTTAAACAATTTAAATAAAAGAAAACAATTAGCTATGATGTTGCCAAAAATTGATTTTCCAAGCAAAAAAAGCACTGTTGAAAATCCACGAGTTCCATACCATGGTTGATATATTCAACACACTTCTCACCTATAAAAATTGTTTGATGTATTTCATTCACGCACAATATTTACACTTGATTAAACTTGTTGACCCCAAAAAGTGTTGCCAACAGATGCCGATCCCACCACGCACACGTGGACGAATGTCCAACATGTTAAGACATGTAGACGGTCTAAAACGAGCGGTTCAATGGGCGTGGGAGTAGCCTAACGACGCGAGACAATGACGTTCGGAATCTGGCGGGTTATTCGTGATCCAACTGTACAATAATTACCAACCGGTGTTCTTAAATGTACGTGTAAATGTGTATAAACTCGATTTG